TGTTTCTCTTATTGCTTCATACATTTGCTATATTTGACTGTAAGTGCCCTGCGAAGTGGACATTACCGGATATTCCGCCATGATTCCAGTTTGAAGGGAGCGTATATGTTCCATACAAAGGGCATTTAAGTGTGCGAGACGTGAATTTAAATTGTATTTATTTGCAGAGGTATATTATGTCCCACTTCACGCTTCTCTAGTAAGCTCCGTCTGTGTGTGAAAACGCTGCAGGCAGCGGCGCAGCGCAAATCTGTAAATGAATATTCCGAAGTGAAGTAAACTTCAACGGATTTCCCCTGCTCAGGGTGTAGGGAGCAATGCACACTGTGTAGGGAGCATGTCAGTCGGAACACAGTTCATGCACGGAGCTCACGAGATGATCTGAATCAGGTGTGTTAAAGAGAGACGTGCAAAACATGCAGAGCGAGGGTACGTGAGGACTGGAATTGAGAACCGCTGGTCTAGAACAATTCTTACAAGTACAACACGACGTAGCTGGGCGCCGCCGGTGTGCCTACACGACGCTGCGCGACCGCCTGAAACGCTGTTTTTTTTCACTTCCGAAAGCGGATGATGTCAGGAAACAGTGGTTGCAATTTACTTTTTAACTCTGTTCCTGAGCATTATAACCCCAATTTGCTATTGTGTGCTGCGCATTTTACTGAGGACAGCTTCCACAACATGAGGGAGGACAGTGGCTGCCGGATTCGCCAAAAAGCTTCTGTTCGCCAATCACAACGCACCGGGACAGCTAACCAATCACAACACATTTTGTTTTTCGGAAGGCGGACCTTCATCACAGCTGGAACTAATCAAGCCATTTGGGCCAGGCTGGGGAGAAAGGTATTGTAATAATGTAAATTATGTGAAAAAATAATGTTCAAATAACGTTTTTCGAACCACCAAGCATGAGAGCATGTTCTAGTACACCCCCAAAACATAATCAAGACTTTGTAAAAGAGCATAATAGGACCCCTTTAATGTCTATATAGTAAAAAAAAAAAGCTTTAAATACGATAAAACAAATGAAGAATAAAAAAAATTAATCTAGCTAATTAAATAAATAGATGAAAATAAATGAAAAAATAATTGTTTTATAAATCAATAAAAACACGATTAAAAAAAATTAAATAGATAAAATCTCTCTAAATAAACTATTATTAAAATAAATAATTGACTAAAATAGTTTAAATACATTTAAATAGTAAAATAAAAATACAAACAAAAATATGATAAAAACTAAATGAAGAATAAAAAATAAAATCCAACTAAATGAATAATTAAAATAAATAAATGAAAAACATTAATAAAAACTTGATTAAAAAACAAATAAAAATGAAACAAAAAAACTATTAAAATATAAAACATTGACAAAAATATTTTTTGAAATGTCTATACAGTTTTATACATTATGTTTAGTTTTAGTTATTTTAGTAAACAAAGTTAAACAAAATGAAAATGAAACTAACAAACTGAATAAATAGATTAAAAATGCCTGCAATAAATAAATAAAAAACATTAAACCACTAAAAACGTATATGAAATAAATAAAAATAGCTAAATAAAAAGGATTAAAATGTTAAAAAAAAATTACTGAAATATTTATTTTATACATTTCAGTTTTAGTTTTTTTTAGTACTCCAAGTTAAACTAAACGAAAATGAGAAATGTTGCCTTGGCAACTAGCAGAAACAAAATAAGTATTTATATTTTATTCTATTCCAAGTAACACTTTTTTATTATGGATTTAGTTTCAGTTAACTAGAATAAACCACGATGAGGGCATAAACTAAAGTCTGCGTCATGTCGGTCTGACCGCCGAACGTCTGCGACAGCATCAGAGATTATCAGTGCAGCAAACATCACCCCATATTACACGAGAAGCGAGTCATTTCTGCTGCAACCCAACATGCCACACACACACACACACACACACACACACACAGACAGACAGACACACACACACACACACACAGACAGACAGACACACACACAGACACACACAGACAGACAGACAGACA